TGCGGGGGGCCGGGCCGGCGGGTGGCCGCCGCGCCGCGCACCCATGGACGGCCCGGCCATCATCACCCAGGTGACCAACCCCAAGGAGGACGAGGGCCGCGCGCGGGGCGCCAGCGAGAAAGGTGAGTGGGGGCGCGGGCGGGCGGCCGCGGGCTGGGGGCGGGCGCACTCCCCGCGCCGCCGCCGGAGTTGGGCGCCGCGCGCCCGCACGGGCCTGGGGGAGGGTTGCGCCGGTGGCGGAGGGTGCGTGGGTGTGGGGGTGTGCCCGCGGGCTGGGCTGTGAGCGGGTGACGGTGACCCTGACGGACTGCGAGTTTGGGTTTGCGCTCCGCCGACGGAGAAGTTGTGAGCGCGCGCGCGCGCGCGCGTGTGTGTGTGTGTGTGTGTGTGTTGCTGGCAGGCTGTGAGTGAGTGTGCCCTGGTAGGTTTTGCGTGTGCAAGGGACTGAGAGGTGGTAAGGGGGTGTGGTGTGCACCTAACAGAGAGGTGCTGAGTACGCTGTGCACCTGACAGGTTATGAGTGTGTATATGTGCCTGGTGGATTCTGAGTGTGAACTTACGTGTGTGTGCACGCACCAACTGAGATTGTAAAGGTGTGTGTGCACCTCCCAGAGAGGTTGTGAGTGCAGGTTTTCCTGTCGGGCCATGAGTTTTTGTATGTACCTTATGTAGAGGTTTTGTATGTAGCTAAGAGGTTGTGAAGTAAATATGTGTGTGTCTGCATGAGCGTGAGCCTGCAGTTCTATGTGTGTTCCCTCCTGACGGAGTTTGTATGTGTGCATTGTGTGCCCACACCACCCAGCTGGCAGGTTGAGTAAATTGTGTCCATGGACAGGAAGGTATGTGTTTGGGCACTCATACACATGAAGGCTGTGTGCCTGCGTGTGTCGTAGGTGTGCAGCATTGAGGCTGTGTGTTTGGGTGTTTTAATTGGTGGTGCAAGTGCTGGAGCGAAGAGGGGATGGTCAGTGCCTAAACCATCCCCCTCTTTTTCGACTGTGCTGTCTCAGTGACACCAGCTTGTTGGGACTGCCAGCAAGGTCTGGTTCTCCCTGGGTCCTTTTAGGGTCTGCCTCTAACCGGCACTCATAGGGGCCTCACAGGGGCCTCACGGTACCCGGTATGTCTCTTTCCTCTGTGCTGCAATGCCTGGTTTGGTTTCAGCACATTTGACTCCACCGCTGTCTTCTCTTTTCTTCTGGTTGTTCTTCTTTGTGTCTCTGTCCCTCTCTGAGACTTGGGCCCCTTTGTCATATGCCCTGCTTACTGTCCCTCTAGTGAGTTGTCCTGAGGTTTTGAAGGACTGAGGAATCTGGCTTGGTCGTTCTGGTGACTAAAGCCCTGCCTCCCTCTCTTCCTGCTATGCACCCCAAAAACATCTGGATTGATATCAGGAGCAGCCTGCCAGGACATCCTCCCCTCACCCAGTCTTGTCTGACCACAGCCAACTTTGGGAAAGAATCAGATTTCTTTCCTTGTGTTAGCATCCTCTCTGTGCCCGTGGGGTGAGGTGTGCAGCCTTTCTGAGGAAGGGGGCATGGGGTGGGAGAAAACAAGCCTCTGTCTCTTTCCAAGCAAGGACCACTGGGCAAGGCCATCAGAAAATGCAAGAAACCGCCAGAGGTACCCTCAGACTGGGGATTTATCAGTGCATTTGCACTTTTGTGGGCCATAAACATTGTGTCTGCAGACTTGTTTTCTTTTATGTAGAATTAGAAATCGAACTCCCCCAGGCATTTTTCTGTGCCTTACAAATTGGCTAAAAAATTATGCAGAGAGGGTGCTTCAGGTGAATCTCTTTTGTCTCCCTCGTGCCCAGGTGGGCAACACATAGGTTCCTGCCATTGAGGGCTGTCAGCTCTTGGGGCCCTGGTGTGCATGCTCTGGGCTGGGTGTGTCCTCTTGGGGAAGGATTAGTGGGAGGCATGAAGGTGGTTTGATATCTGTGCTTCTCACTCACTCTGGATTGAGTGCTTTGTGTGATGCTTTGCCAGAGAGAAAATCCACAGCTCTTATGAGGAGAGGTGTGGCATAAAGCAGGGAAATATTTGTCAGGGCCTCAGCCCTCCTGCTGTCCCCGATCTGAGTCTTGGAGCAGGATCCTCCCCAACTTTCTCTTTTCCTCTAGCTGTGAGGCTTTTTAAAGTAGAATCAATTGAGCCAAAATCCAACCATGTACAAATACTCAAGGATGGTGCTTGTTCTCTTCAACCTGTTTACTTTGCTTTTCATGACGATCTTTTATTATCTTTAATAGTTTATTTTGTTTGTTTTCTAGTGTCAGGTCGGCTGATTGTTAACTGGTTAGGTGAATACTTGCTGCTCTGGGATAGAGTGGCTATCTAGAGCAGGTTCTTCTTGCTGAAGCATTAAAACAGTGCTCAATTCAGCTTTTCACTTTAAAAAATGGAAAAAAATTGGTCAATTACAATGTGGCAATAAACTTAAAAGCTAGACTTTGGAACAGCTTCTTCAGATTCCTAATGCACTAAACAGGTTCAGCAGTGTTTCTAGCTTAAGCACGTTGATCTGTTTAGTATATGTGCTGCCGAAGCGAGCACACGTTGATCTATTTAGATAGGCACAATATATTTTACATAATTTTAATTTTAGGTAAACACTTGATCATTTTATTTTTATTTACAGGGCCTGGAATGTTATAAGTTTTGGGGATAGGAAAGAAACTATTAGTTTTGTTTTTTTTTTAAGATTTTATTTATTTATTTATTTGTCAGAGAGAGAGAGAGAGAGAGAATACAAGTAGGCAGAGTGGCAGGCAGAGGCAGAGAGAGAAGCAGGCTCCCCACTGAGGAAGGACCCGATGTGGGACTCTATCCCAGGACCCCGGGATCATGACCCGAGCTGAAGGCAGCGGCTTAACCGACTGAGCCACCCAGGCATCCCAGAAACTATTAGTTTTAAAAGTTTATTTTCATCATTTATTCTGTGAAACAGGAATAAAAAATGCTGCTCTTGGATTTGATATGAGGGTTAAGTGAGATGATGTATATTAAGGACTCTGCCTCATGTGCCACTATCCCATAAACCTTTCTTTAGGTGTAGATTTGTAAAACAAACAAACAAACAAACAAAAAACCACAATAGCTAATAAATGTGGGCTATGGTGTTTTGCACGAGTTGAATTACTTCTTGACACATTGCCACGTGGTGGTGCACTGCTTGGAGACGACTGTCAGGATTGTCACTGTGCCTGGCCTGTCAGGGAAGATTTATTTCTTAGTTGTGTTTGATTTCGTTGATAGTATAAAGATGCAGAGACAGATCTCCCCGTGAGTTCAACTCAGCCTGCTTTGCTATCCAGAAATTTACAAATCAATAAGGAAAAGCTACACAATGCAGTAGAAAAGTAGAAAAGGGAGATATGAACAAGGAAGTCATAGAAGAGGCAATCTGTTCAATAAATATATGAAATGATGCTCATTTTCATGTGAAATAGTTGCTTACATCAGCTTGGTAAAGCATTTACATGACAACAAAGTAAATAAAAGTTTTTGGAAATGGATAGTCTTACAGACTTTTGTTAGAGAATAAAGTAAGCACAGACTTTTTAGAGAGTATTTTAGTACTGAATTCTTTAGGAACCCATTTGGCTGCAAGTAAAAGAAAACCAGGCTCATACTCTGGCTTAACCAAGAGGAGTTTATTTTTACATAACAAATAGTCTGGAGGTAAGCTCCTGCTGGTTTCGGTTAGGCTACTCACTGATAGCAGGACTGACATCACGTTGATTCTCTAGGCTTTCCTCAGTGTAACATGGCTGCCACCCCTCCAAACACCACAGCCACCTTCAGGGCAGGAAAAAAGGGACAGTGCCAGTCATGTCGATCCCTTTTACCTGGCTCAGCAAACTTTGGGGGATGTTTACTTAGCTAGAACTTGGCCACAGGGCCACCCCTAGCTGCAAGCAAAGGGAATTTCTAGCTTTTTCAGCCTTTGTTATGGGAAGCAGGAGATGATTAGAAATGGGTGGGAACAGGTATTGGTTCAGGCAGTCAACAATATTGGCCATACCTTCAAAGCTTCTGTTCTACTTCTGGGTTTTTCTTCTAGAGAACTGTCCTCATAGGTGATCAAAGAAACATATACAAGCATTTTCACTGATGGGTACATTACTTGCATGGCAAAAAAAAAATCCATTCTGAGTTTTTTTTTTATAAGGTGAGAAATTCAAGTTCAGGATTTTTGTTTGTTTTGTTTTGCCTCTGGCTGTCTAATTACTTCAATCACATTTGTGGGAAAGGCTATCCTTCCTCTTTTGAATTTTTTTTGCATCTCTATCAGTTCAGCATAGTTGTGTAGGTCCCCTTCTGGGTTCTTGAGTTTGTTCCTCTGATTGCTGTGTCTGTACCACTGTCTATGCTGTGCAGTCTTGATTACCAGAGCTATGTATTAAGTCTTGAAATAGGATAGACTGATTCCCCCAATTTTTTGCTTTTTCAAAAATTGGTTTTAGCTGTTCTAGTTCTGTTGTTTTTCTATATGCATTTTACAATTTTGTCTATATATATATATATACATATATATATATATATATATAAGAAGTCTTATTGAGATTTTGATAGGAATTATATTAGACCTATATAAAAATTTGGGGAGAACTGACATCTTTACGATGTTGAGTCTTACAGTCCACGAACACATTATGTTTCTCTATCTATTTAGATATTCTTTGATTCTTTCATCAGGGTTGTGTAGTTTTAAGCATATAAGTCCTGTTGATGTTTTGTTAGATTTACATTTAAATGTTTCTCTCTAAGATTTTATTTATTCATTTAGGAGAGAGAGCAAGCATGGGAGAGCATGAGCCAGGGGGTGGGGTAGCCAGAGAGGGAGAAACAGACTCCCCACTGAGCGGGGAGCCCCATGCTGGACTGGATCCCAGGACCAAGGGGATCATGACCTGAGCCGAAGACAGAAGCTTAGCTGACTGAGCCACCCCAGGCGCTTCTCTCTCTTTTTAAGTGATTGTTTGTACTTTCAATTTTGGTCCAAGTATTCAATGCTAGTATGTAGAAATATAATTGATTTTTGTATGTTTGTCTTATATCCTGTGATCTTGCTGAGTTCGCATATTAGTTATAAGAAGCTTTGTAGATTTCTT